GTGTGTGTGTGTGTGTGTGTGTGTGTGTGTGTGTGTATTCTAATTTCTTTCATGTCAATAAGAAATTTAAGTAAATCTGCCTCAAGATACTAATTCATAAGATATATCCCAGGAATAATCAAAATGTAGTTATAATGGAAGTAATTACGAGAAAGCCAAGATTTCTTTCTCTGTACTTTTTGGAACCTACTGTTACTCCAGGACTCCTAGGTGCTCCAAGACTCCTAGGTACATCATGCCCCAGGGCACTCTGGAGTTCCACTTCAGAGCTGCCTTAGGCAATGAATTAGGAAAAGGGAAGGCACGCGGTGAGCTGCCTTGGACTTCTGAAAAACGACCTCTCTCTTGCATCTTTGTTCACTGTTTCTTGATGCCATTCTTAGAGTGTGGGTAGGAGTGGGATTAGGGCTGTACAGTGAGATGTGATGTGTTACTTAGCTATTGTCACTCAGAGTGAAATTTTTTTGCATCGGTCAGCTCCTTGAGTGTTGGATTAATGGGCCAATATGCTCCTGAATAACAAAACTAAGTTCATGTACTAATCCCAAGGAAGGTAAATTAGCTTATGAAATACAGAGAAAAGAAAAATAAATTTAGGGATACAAATTAGGGAAGCTCTGTTATAAAGTTGGATACAGACCTAGTATATAATTGTTTAGATTTATTACACTGTCAATAGTAAGCTAAGGAGTCAATAGTAAATACACAATAGTATTGTAAATAGTAAATTTACAATAGTAGTAAATACACAATATATTGTGTATTTCTTTAAAGTTGAATTAGGATTTTCTGATTTCAAAACATTTTTAAGTAATAAACCAGGAACACCTGTCATATACCTACTATCAAATCTTTTTATGATTAAATCAAGGCAGGAATGTTCATCTTTGTTAGATAGCTGGTAACTTTCAGAGAATGGGTGAGAGTGTCTGAAATACAAAAAACATAACTGGAAAATACTTTCAAACAGGTGAGCAAGCTGTAACCCATTTGCCAAGCCCCCTGTTTATGTAAACAGAGTATTGAGACACAGACATTTATTTACTTTGGCTGCTTTTGAGCTACGTGGTGGTGGAGTTGAATAGTTGCAACAGAGACTATAAGATATTTCCTATGGACCTTTATGGCACTCCCACACTACCTACCCTATCCCATTTATACTAGTTACTACTCACCAATTTTTAAAGGAACAATGTATATAGGCAAATGTATATAGAAATTAAATGTAGGATAATAGTTTATGATTGATATTTTGTTAAGTATCTTTTATGGGTCAAGGACAAACCTGTTGTTGACAGGTTTAAGCAGTCTGTTTACCTTAAAATTCCTTTCTCTGTTCTTTGGAGAAGCATACTGGACCAGCAGGTCTGTCTGTCTCTCTCTGTCTGTCTCAGTCTCTGTCTTTCTCTAAATCACTTTTTCTCTTTGAGCGTAAATTAATTGTACAAAGGGGTTTCATTGTTATACATTCATTCATATGAAGTACTTGAATAAAATTAACCCCCTTGGTATTACTCTTTCAAGGGTGTAAATAGTTTACTTCTACCTATTAATGTTGCTATGTGGAGAAATGTGTTTATTCCCAGGTTCCTCTAATGTGAAAATATGAAAACTCCAGTGTAATTAGGAATGTCTGCATACGTGCTAATTGCTACAACTTCTGTGGCACATGTACATGTGTGTAACACATATACCTGCACACACAGGGAGATAAGATAGGGGACAGCCATCTGTCACACATGCATGGTATTTTGTTTTTTTCTTGGTGCTTGGCATTTACTCCCTACTCAGAATGTAGCTCAAGTGAACTATACATCCAGCTCAGCATTTTGGTGGTTATTTTGGATGTAGAGTCTCACTGGCTTTTTGGCCTGGGCTGTCTTTGAACCATGATACTCCAGGCCCCCTCCTCCTTGAGTAGCTTTGTTGACAGACATGAGCCACTAGTGCCTAGCTTAGAAATTCTTAACAGTTGGGGCTAGGAAGGTGGCTCAGTGGTGGAGCGCTTGCCTTGCATGCATGAGGCCCTGGGTTTGATTCCTCAGCACCACAAAAGCAAAAAGCCGGAAGTGGTGCTGTGGCTCAAGTGGTAGAGCACTAGCCTTGAGCTGAAGAGCTGAGGGACATGACCCAGGCCCAGAGTTCAGGCCCCACGACTAGACCCCCACCCAAAAAAATTCTTAACAGTCTTCTTTTTGTATTATGTAGAAAAAATGTTTTTACTGGACTACAGACAAGTCTCACACTTATTCTAACTCCTTTTAAAATATTAATTTGAAACATAATTGTCACAATGAGACTCGTT